TGGCCAGGGCTCGATGGCCATTTAAAGTTTCCCAGACAAGAAAATGCTAAAGGAGTTCATCACCACCAAACCAGTATTATATGGAATGTTGATGGGTATTCTTGAAGAAGATAAAAAATATGAACAATAAAATGGCAATAAATACATATCTATCAACAACTGAATCTACAAACAAAATGAGCAAGCAGAACAGAAACAGACTCATAGACACAGAGAACTTTTTGTTGGTTGCCAGATGGGAGGGGAGTTGGGTGTAAAAGATGAAGGGATTAGGAAGTACAAATTGGTTGTAAATTGGTAAACTGATGATCCTCAAAGGGAAGCGGGGAGGTGGAGTGGGAAGAGAGAAACCAAAGAACTTATATGCAAATATGCATAACCAATAGATACAGACAATTGTGTGGGGAAAGCAGGAAGGGGGCGGGGATGGGGAGGTGGGGGTCAAGGAGGGAAAAAAGAGGAACATCGGTAATACATTCAACAATAAATATAAGTTTAAAAAAAAAGATATATTTTAAATGCTGGCAGCCATGTTACAGGTTCTCATCAAGTGATTGGTGATCCTTGGTTATCCTATTCACACCCGAGTGTGAAGTATCAAAAAGTAACTCAGGCACGGCTAGTGTGGCTCAGTGAATTGAGCAGTTGTCCCCTGGACTGAGAGGTCCCAGTTCAATTCCAGGTCAGGGCACATGCTCGGGTTTTGGCTCGATTCCTAGTAGGGTGCAGTGCAGGAGGCAGCTGATCAATGTTTCTCTTTCACATTGATGTTTCTATCTCTCTCTCCCTGCCTCTTTCTCTAAAAATAAATATTAAAACATATTTTTTAAAAAGTAACTCAAGGTATGAGTGAGGCTCAACTGAAAGAAACTTCAAGTGCATCAACCCATGTACCAGGAAGTCGCTGGTTCGATTCCTGGTCTGGGCACATGCCCTAGTTGTGGGCTCGATCCCCAGCGGAAGAGGCAGCCAATAGATGTTTCTATCTCTCTCTCAGGAATCAAAAAAAACATACTAAAAAAAAAAAAGATGACACATGATAAAATGAAGGAAAGGGCAAATAATTTAAAAGAAACAACTGAATAATTTGGCAAGAGATTATATAATTTCTATGCTTTCCAATTTTTAACAGAATTTTTAATGTTTTGGATTAAGGCTTTAAAAGCTCAATATTATAAATCTGGAACAGTTAACAAGAAAAAAATGGTTAAGTACAAGTTCAAGTGCAACTGAACAAAACAGTCATTTCCCCTCCTTCAGGGATCAGAGTTACTATTAAAATATAAAGATCCTTTATTCCATTTAGAAAGTTATTTGTAGACAAATCACGAACAACAGAAAAGTTTAAACAACTGAAATAATCTCCATACCTAAAAGAATTACAAAGAAAATTTGAAAGTAAAGAAATAAGCAGACCTAGCAGGTTTGGCTCAGTAGTTAGAGCGTCGGCCTGCGGTCCAGAGAGACCCCAGTTCAGGGTTCGGTTCCCGCTAAGGGCACATACCTCGGTTGCAGTTCGTCCCTGGCCCTGATTGGGTCGTGCGGGTGGCAGCCACTCTATGTGTCCCTTTCATGTCGATGTTTCTCTCTCTCTCTCCTTCCCACTCTATCTGAATAAAAATGGGAAAATGTCCTCAGGTGAGGATAAAAAAAAAAAAGAAAGAAGCAGATTAAAAAGAAAAAAGAGGAAGAGGAAAGAAAGAGGAGAAAAAAAGGAAGCAGAAGTAGCAATCTTTATAACAGAATTCCAGGCCAAAAGTGATGACACAAGATTAAAAGGGATAGTGAGTAATGATAATCTTTGAAAACGTAATAGCCATAAATCTTTTTGTTTATTTCTTTTGTTAATCCTCACCAGAGAATATTTTTTCCATTGATATTTAGAGACAGTGGAAAGGAGGAAGAAAGGGAGGAAGGGAAAGATGGAGGGAGGGAGGGACAGGGGGAGGGGAGAGAAAAAGAGAGAGAGAGAGAGATCAATCTGAGAGAGACACATCGATTAGTTGCCTCCTGCACACGCCCTGATTGAGTCTGGGGACCAAACTTGCAAACCAGGTATGTGCCCTTGACTGGAATTAGAACCTGCAATCAATCTGTGTAGGGGCTGATGCTCTAACCACTGAACCACACCAGCCAGGACCATAAACCATTATACATAAGCAATATAGCAATAAAATACATAAAGCAAACATTCCTACAGAACCCAGCTAGTGTAGCTCAGTGTACTGAGAATCCTCTGTGCATCAAGAGGTCACTGGTTGGATTCCTGGTCAGGACACATACCCAGGTTACGGGCTCTGTCCCCAGTAGAGGGTGGGCAGGAGGCAGCCTATCCATGTTTCTCTTACCAGTGTTTCTCTCCCTCTCCCTTCCTCTCTCTCTAGAATCAATCAAAACACATTTTTAAAAAATTCCTAGAGATACTAGAGAGCTAGATACAACCAAAAATATACCTGAAGATTCAACATACCTCTTTGAGAACTCAAGTAGATATAAATAAAAACAGAGAGGATCTGAATAATAAAACAAAGTCTAATATATATGTAATGGTATATAGGGCAAGTCATTCGATCTTTGTTTCTCATAAGATGACTATAAAAAATAATACCTAAGCAATATGGCAGCTCAAATATTAGCTAAACAGCCTGCCTCTTTTTTTTTTAAAACTGGTTTTAAGGTGGGGAGAAAGAAAGAAAACATCGATCAGTTGCTTTCCATAAGTGCCCAACCAGGGATCAATACCACAACCCAAGGTATGTACTTTGACAGAAAATCTAACAGGGAACTTTTTGGTGCACAGGACTACTTACTTAACCAACTGAGCCACACTGGACAGGGCCAGCCTGCACTTCTTAAATGTGAGCCTCTGCTTTTCTTTCAGTCAAAAAGTAAAAACAAACAAAAAAGTAAGGCCATGGCCAGGTAGTTCAGTTGTTTAGAGCATCATTCTAATACATCAAGGTTGTTGTTTGATCCCCGGTCAGGGCACATACAAGAAGCAATCAATGAAAAAAAAAGAAGCAGCAGCAACCAACGAATGCATAAGTGGAACAACAAATAGATGTTTCTCTCTCTCTCCTTTCCTCTCCCTCTCTAAAATCAATTTTTAAAAATTAAGTTGAATAATAAAGGTAGCTCTCCAACAAGTGTTACGAATGTAATTATTCTCCTCTTCTATAATAAAGTAAAATGGATTTTATTTATTTATTTATTTATTTGTTGATTTTTAGAGAAAGAGGAGGGGAGAGGGAGAGAGAAATAGAAACACTGATGACAGAGGACATCGACTGGTTGCCTCCTGCATGCTCCCCACTGGAAATTGGGCCCACAACCTGGGCATGTGCCCTGACCAGGAATCCAACCGATGATATCTTGGTGCATGAGTTGATGCTCAATCACTGAGCCACACCAGCCGGGCAAAGTAAAAAGGATTTTAAAAGGAAAATAAATATTTAAAAACAAAGTTTTAGGGATTTCTAGGCATTGCTAAGATTAAATAACTTTTCTCCACAAGGTGCAATAAATTCTACAGGGGGTGCTTTTTCAAAATAGTCAAAAATATCCTTTAAAAATCACTTATATAGTAGAACTTAGGTCTTTGGAAACTCAAAAGGTAATGTCTTAGGCTATTTTTTTTTTGCATTTAGGGGAATAGATCTGCTGAGTCATCATGGAAGATATAAACTAATGCAGTTGGGTGGATGGGGTAAGGAAAGACAAGGGGGGGGGGGATTTATTGCCCCCACCTCAAGACAGTATAATTCCAGTATTATGATATAGGATTCCACTGTGTCCAGCTGATCTAGTCCTTAAATAAAACATTACAATCTGAAGTGGTTAGTTGCTGAAGATCTGCAGTTTTTGCCTCTATTTTAATAACCACTCTTGAGGAAAAAAATACAAATATACAAAAAAACTGTCAGGTGTAAGTACAGTCATGGAAAACCGAGTGGTTTATAATTTTTATGAAATGTATATCTCAAAAGTTGCCATAGCCTTAATTTTATACCCAATGGGGTACCATTTGAAAACAGTGCATTAATTTACATGTATCTTACAATAAAAATCAGTATATGTGACACTTGCTCCAGTACTTATTCATCATCCACTGTTTATTAAAAATATTAACTCCAAGCCCTGGCCGGTTTGGCTCAGCGGTTAGAGCGTCGGCCTGCGGTCCTGAGAGACCCGGGTTCGGTTCCTGCCAAGGGCACGTACCTCGGTTGCAGTTTGTCCCCGGCCCTGGTCGGTCATGCAGGTGGCAACCACTCGATGTGTTCCTTTCACATCGATGTTTCTCTCTCTCTCTCTGTTCCTCTCTCTCCCTCCCACTCTACCTGAACAAAAAATGGAAAAATGTCCTTGGGTGAGGATAAAAATAAATAAAAAATATTAACTCCAGATTCCATTCCACAAGCATTTATAAAACTTCTGTTCAGATGAAAACAAAAACTTTGTAGTATAGTTGGAGCCACAATACCCACACCTGAAAGAACACTCATAAAAACAACACAAAAGTCTGGAAGTTAGTTTAGTGTAAGGGAAGGGTCTATTATTGTTTCTTATTATTGCACATCTCCCACTGAAGGTGTTCAATAAATTATACCACCTTAGGAGATGAGTTTTGTTTTTTATTTATTTATTTATTTATTTATTGGTACGCGCCCCTAGCTGGAACGAAACCGGGGACTCTGGTCCTCAGGCCGATGCTCCAACTGCTGAGCCAAACCGGTCAGGGCTAGGAGATGAGTTTTAAACTAAGAATAAGAAAATAGGTACTTTTTAAAATTTAATACTCATTCCTTCATACTAATCCTCCCTATCTCTCTCCCTCTTTTTCCTCTCTCTTGTTCTCTCTCTGGCGGTGGGATGCCCAGAAGAGGAATACTTACAGTAAAATGTTACGCTGAACCGACCAGGAAAACTGGGAACTGACTGACTGAGAAAGTGAAAACTGAGATGAGTTAGTGATGAACCCAAGAAGGTGCTTAGCCACTTACCCAGAGATTTATTTAATGAGAATGGATCGCAGGTTTCCACAGGTCGTTCCACTGCCAGTAAGAAGATAGTCGTGAACCTTGGGTCCCTTTTTTCACTAGTCAACAGTCACCCTCACCTACACGCGGAGTACATATTTGGCACTCAGCAAATCTTGATTGAGTAAAAACCTACCTCACTCATATTGGTACCCAACCCCGGAGTTACGGACCCACAAATCATCTCCAGAACCCTTAGGACTTAACCCAAAGAACTGATAAAATAGAGAAGAAAGCTCTGGGATCTTTGTAAAGACTGAGAACAATCAAGGGCCAATGTAGCCTACACCAACCCAACTTCCCAAAGAAAGCTTAGGGGACTGAACTGTGTCTAAGGCACCTTCAGGTTCCCAAGGAGGTACCCGACAGGTCGCAGATCCATAGTCTCCCACCCGGGGGCGCTGAGAGATCTGGGGGCATCCCCTCTAAAGTTAGCACCTGCAAAGCTGCGACGCAAAGAGTGGCTCGGGGCTCTCATTACGAAGGCCGGGGCCTGGGGCCGGCCAGCTGCGCCTCCCGGCTGAGGGTTCCGCGCTCCGGAGCAGCAGTGACAGCGGCCGGTCACAGATAGATACCTCACGCTTCAGGAGGCTCGCGGCTCGCAGGCCCTGGTATTCGCTGTCGGGACTGAGCGAGTTAATCGCACTCACGTCGACCCGAGCGCTTTAAAGTTCTCCTCACAGCTCAAGCGATCACTCCTGCCTTAAGCCCAGCAGCCGGTCGCTTCCCGGCGCCGCCATCGTTAGTGTTTGTTTTCATCCGCTTCGGTGAACGCGGAGGGGGGGGTGGCGGGGGGAGGAAGAGGGCTACCGGGGAAATACAGCTGTCTAACTTCAGTCGCACTTTCGCTACATATGGACGGCATGTTTAATCTCTTTCCTCTTCGAAATTCCCATAAAAGTTGATTTCCTTTCCATATTCATTTATATCCAATATTTCCAAACGTCTCAGAAGAAATAAAAACATAAAAAACCTGGTCTTTGAGAGAGCTAGAACATTTGGGCAGCGTGAGGAATATGCACCAGCGAGCCGCAAGTCACTGCAGCAGTGGCAAGTGAGGACGCGGCTGCGGCGGACGCTGACGCGGAAGGGGCGGTGCCTCTGTTGAGCGCCGTGGCGAATTGTGCGCGACAGCCGGTTCCGGAGGAGGGCGGGGCCAGGCCGGGTGGGTGGGAAGTGTGACTGGTAACCTGGCAGCCGCCGTGAGGTGGGTGACCGACTTTTAGCTGATTTTGAGTGGCCGGCGCAATCAGATTTACGGAATATTCCGTATTCCATATTTAAGGCGCCTCTTAAAAGCGGCAGAGTTTCCTCCCAAACCTAGCGCTCTCAACGTCTTCTTTCGCACCTTCTTTTTAACGTGTTTGGTCTTCTGTACTTCCTAGCCCTCAGCCTCAGGATTATTAGAACACACAATCCACAACCATCAGCCTGGGTCGTGGGTGGTTTTTCCCCCTTTCCTCCCTTGTTAAACAGGTTTGAGCAGCCCCCTCTCCCCCCTCCCCCATTTGTCACGTACTTATCAGGTGGAGCCAGAGGGCTTTGGGTAATGAAAGCCACCGTGACTAATCCCTGCCCTGGGTAGTTACGACTTATGTCAGCGGCTTCGTGGCCTGTATAGTTAAGAGCAGACCTCTTTTATCTTGTGGATAATTATGCCATCACCTCCATTAATCTTTTGCTCTCCCCAGTTCAAATGCCAGGCAGAAAATGAGCCACCGAAATACAACTCCCATTATCTTTGAAACCAAAACAAAGACTGTCATGCAGTCATGAGCTAGTGGAGAAAAACCCAGAGTTATGTAAGTGTAGCACCTTTTGCTTGAACAAAATGGAAATTTGAGAAAAGGAGTTATTGTAACCTTTGAATCACTTTAAAGTCTTTGGTAGGTTTCTAATTTTTTTTTTCTTTTAACCTTTACAGAAAGAAGATTATAAATGCCAGAGCCATTTAACTGATGGTTAGCTGTTGAATTCTGACACTTCTTTAAATACCTTCATGCACCAACGTCTTCACTGGAAAGAATTCAGGAAAAGTAGCAGAGGGAGAGTCAACATTTACATGTACCATGGCTATACCAATAACAGTGCTTGACTGTGATCTCTTACTGTATGGCCGAGGTCACCGGACATTGGACCGTTTTAAGCTGGATGATGTGACTGATGACTACTTGATGTCCATGTATGGTTTTCCTCGACAATTCATTTATTATTTGGTGGAGCTCTTGGGAGCAAGTCTTTCTAGACCTACTCAGAGATCTAGGGCTATTAGCCCAGAGACACAGATCCTTGCAGCATTGGGCTTCTATACTTCAGGTTCCTTCCAGACTCGGATGGGAGATGCTATTGGAATCAGTCAGGCATCTATGAGTCGATGTGTTGCCAATGTCACCGAAGCACTTGTGGAAAGAGCCTCACAGTTCATTCGCTTTCCAGCTGATGAAGCCTCCATTCAGGCTCTGAAGGATGAATTCTATGGGTTGGCTGGGATGCCAGGGGTAATAGGAGTGGTTGATTGTATTCATGTGGCAATCAAGGCACCAAATGCTGAAGACCTTTCCTATGTGAATCGCAAAGGTCTACATTCTTTAAACTGCCTGATGGTGTGTGACATCAGAGGAGCATTAATGACTGTGGAGACAAACTGGCCAGGCAGCCTACAGGACTATGCTGTGCTGCAACAGTCTTCTCTCAGTAGTCAGTTTGAAGCTGGAATGTACAAAGATAGCTGGCTGCTTGGTAAGTTTGCAGGTGGAAATGCTTCATTTTGTAGCCATAGAATTATGTAGCAGAGTAAATGAAATATGGGAGTCTATATTGAGTTTCAGTCCCGTCCTTTTCTTGAGACCTCAGCTAAAAACTCTGAGCCTTAATTATTTATTTATTTTTTTCTCCTCACCCGAGAACATCTTTCCATTTTTTGTTCGGATAGAGTGGGAGGGGGGGAGAGAGAGAGAGAGAGAGAGAGAGGGAGAGAAACATCGACGTGAAAGTAACACATCGAGTGGCTGCCACCTGCACAACCCAACCAGGGCCAGGGACAAACTGCAAGCAAGGTACATGCCCTTAGCAGGAACCAAACCCGGGTCTCTCTGGACCACAGGCCAACGCTCTAACTGTTGAGCCAAACTGGCCAGGGCTGAGCCTTAATGTTTTAGAATCACCATTTAGCCCTGGCCAGTGTGGCTCTGTCAGTAGGAACGTCGTCCCGTACACCAAAAGGTCCTGGGTTCATTTCCTGGTCAGGGCACATGCCTAGGTTTTGTTTGTTTGTTTTTTTGGTGTTACATGCCCCTTGCGGGAACTGAACCCGGGACTCTCTGGTCTGCAGGCCGACGCTCAGCCGCGAGCCAAACTGGCCAGGGCACATGCCTAGGTTTTGGATTTGATCCCTGGCTCTGTTGGGGCATGTGCAGGGAGGCAACCCATTGATGTTTCTCTCCCCTCTCTCTAAAAATCAATGAAAATGTCCTCGGGTGGGGACTTTTTTTTTTTAATCACCATTTAAAAGACACTTATTAACATTTTTTTTTGTTATTTGTTTTGTTTTGTTAATCCTCACCCAGGGATATTTTTCCATTAATTTTTAGATAGAATGGAAGGGAGGGAGGGGGAGAGAGAGAGAGAAACATCAATGTGAGAGAGACGCCTCGATTGGTTGCCTCCTCCATGACCCTGACCAGGAAGGGATTGAATTTGTAGCCTAAGTACCTGCCCTTGACCGGAATAGATCTTGAGACTCTTGGTCTGCGGGCAGATGCTCTAATCACTTAGCCAAACTGGCCAGGACTAAAGTTTTAAAACCATATTATTTGACCCAGAACTTCCACTTCTAAGACTTTACATGGAGGTACGTATTCATAATTATGAATATTGGTGGTGTAAAACAAAATTACATATAAGAATTTGCATTATAGTAGTGTTTGGCCTACAAAAACAGTTTCTTAAATGCAGCCAAAATACTTATCACTATAGATCTGTTAAATAGCCATACAATTGAGCCTTAGATTTTATTATCTGTAAAATGGTGAAAAAATATCAATAGCAGTAATACCTATTGTGAGGATTAGGCAATATATATTTAAGTTCACCGTAAAGTATTGTAAAAAGATATTATTTTTGGCCCTGGCCAGTTTGGCTCAGCAGTTAGAGCGGCAGCCCGCGGTCCAGAGAGACCTGGGTTCAGTTCCAGCTAAGGGCACGTACCTTGGTTGCAGTTTGTCCCCACCCTAGTTGGGGTCATGAGGGTGGCAGCCACTCGATGTGTCCCTTTCATGTTGATGTTTCTCTCTCTCTCTCTCTTCCTCCCCCCCCCCCCCCACTCTATCTGAACAAGAAATGGAAAAATGTCCTCGAGTGAGGATTAAAAACAAACAAACAAAAAAAACCCCTTGAGCCTGGCAGCTTCGTTTGGTTGGTTGGTTGACTGGTTGGTTTTAAAGTATTACTCTGATGTGAACAAGAAAAGGGTTATCTTATATACAACATATTATGTGAGACATGAAAAAAGACATTAAGGATTCGAAGACCTCTCTTTTAAAACCACTAATCAGCCCTGGCCAGTTTGGCTCAGCGGTTAAAGCGTCGGCCTGCGGTCTGGAGAGACCCGGGTTTGGTTCCCGCTAAGGGCACGTACTTCGGTTGCAGTTTGTCCCCGGCCCTGGTTGGTCGTGCGGGTGGCAGCCACTCGATGTGTCCCTTTCACATCGATGTTTCTCTCACTCTATCCCTTCCTCTCTCTCCCTCCCACTCTATCTGTACAAAAAAATGGAAAAATATCCTCGGGTGAGGATAAGAAAATAAAAAATAAATAAAACCACTAATCATGCCCTGGCCGTTTTGGCTCAGCAGTTAGAGCGTCGGCTTGTGGTCCAGAGAGACCCAGGTTCAGTTCCTGCTAAGGGCACGTACCTCAGTTGCAGTTTGTCCCCGGCCCTGGTTGAGTCGTGCAGGTAGCAACCACTCGATGTTTCTCTCTCTCTCTCTCTTCCTCGCTCTCCCTCCCACAATATCTGAACAAAAAATGTCCTTGGGTGAGGATTAAAAAAAACAAACAAATCACTAATCATATCTGCACTGTACATATTCATAACACAGTATTTAACATGTAATAGACACTCAGCACTTCTTTTTAATGTGCTTTGTTTCTCTTTAATGTGCTTACTGGTTCACAAAAGAGAAACTTCTCCAGCCAATTGATGTGTCTCTCGCACATCGATGTTTCTTTCTCTCTCTCCCTTCCTCTCTCTCTAAAAAATCAATAAAACAGCCCTAGCCAGTTTGGCTCAGCAGTTAGAGCATCGACCTGCGGTCCAGAGAGACCCGGGTTCAGTTCCCACTAAGGGCATGCACCTCAGTTGAGGTTTGTCCCCAGCCCTGGTTGGGTCGTGTGGGTGGCAGCCACATGACGTGTTTCTTTGACATCAATGTTTCTCTCTCTCTCCCTCCCTCCCACTCTATCTGATAATAAGTAGAAAAATATTCTCAGGTGAGGAAATAAATAAATAAATAAATAAAGTTAATCGAGCCCTGGCTGGTGCAGCTCAATTAGTTGAGCATCATCCCGTGCACCAAAAGGGTGCTGGTTTGATCTCCAGTCAGGATACGTGCAGGAGGCAACAGATAGATGTTTCTCTCTGACGTCGATGTCTTTCTCTCTCCCTCTCTCTTCCTCTCTCTCTAAAGTCAATAAAATATATTTTAAAATATTAGAGAGAAATTATTTTAAAAATATATAAAGTCAATTCAGTTCTTAGCAATGTAAGCTCCTGAAAGAAAGGGGTACTATATGTTTTGGAACAGTGCCTGGCACTCTCCATAACTATTTACTGAAATTGATGATGAATCAGGAACAGCAGTTATTCAAGTTGGTACTCCTAGGGCCTGTTTGTCTCAGATTTCTAAGAGGCTGTGCTTCTGTGTGAGACATTTCATCTGCCAGATGTAATGAGTCAAGACAATTAAACATTATAGAAACATCGTACTGTTGTGTTAGGACACTGCATCCCAGTTTTTGTTTTATTTTTAGTACTTCCCAATATTATTTGATAGGTCACCTAAGGGAAATGCCTCATGTATATTATTTTAATTGACTTCTGATTTTATTTTTTTATATTTTTGTCCTTACCCGAGGACACTTTTGCACTCATCTTTAGATAGAGCGAGAGGGGGAGAGAGAGGAAGAGAGAGAAATATCAATGTGAGAGAGACACATTGACTGGCTGCCACCCACACGACCCCAACCGGGGCTGGGAACAAACTGCAACCGAGGTACGTGCCCGTAGCAGGAACTGAACCCGGGTCTCTCTGGACCATGGGCCAACGCTCTAACCGCCGAGCCAAACTGGCCAGGGCTGATTTTATTTCTTTCTTGCTATTTATGCTGTCCTTGTTAATGTAAAATTCTACCAGTTCCTCTGTTGCAAAGGTGTTGTGCTAGTGAATGTAGTATCTAGGAAGGCAAGACACCTAAATTCTGGTCTCTACCACAGATCCTGGGACTTTTATTTTATTCTTCTTAGCACCAGGAGAATGAATTACTATGAAATACTCTGAAATCCCCAGGTAGTACATTCAGACCTGACATTTTAATGGTAAAATTAGAAATTTTTTTCACAAGTATTTTGCGATATTGTGGCAGAATTCTCTTTTTCTCTCTTGCTCAGTCGCCCTTTAGAGATTTTGAAAACTGGTTTGCTATGTGATGATCCTTACTAAACTTTTTATTATCAGAAAATCCAGGAATTTTATTTCCTCCAATGCCTTTACCTCTTTTGCACATTTTTTCAGACTTGGCTTTCTTTAACTATCAGCCTTTTTTTCTGTTGGTATTAACCAGGGATATTCCCAGCCAAGACTCATATCTACCTGCTTGTGACTCTTGCATACCTTCTCTTTGCCAGAGCACTTCTCTCTTGGTTTTTCTGGAGCACTTTGGCTCCAGGGGCTATTGCATTTTCTTGTCCATTCTTTGTATATGTCCCTAGATTTTCATTTTTGTTTGTATTCGAACTGTGGTCATTTATGATTTCTTTGGGCCTTCCCCACAGGTGACAGTTCCTTCTTTCTCCGTACCTGGCTTATGACCCCTCTTCACATTCATGAAACTCCAGCTGAATATCGCTATAATATGGCTCATTCTGCAACTCACAGTGTGATTGAGAAGACTTTCCGAACCCTGTGCTCCCGATTCCGCTGCCTGGATGGATCCAAGGGGGCACTGCAGTACTCACCAGAGAAGTCCAGCCACATCATCTTGGCTTGTTGTGTCCTCCATAACATCTCCCTGGAGCATGGGATGGATGTTTGGTCCTCTCCAATGACAGGACCCATGGAACAGCCCCCCGAGGAAGAGTATGAGCACATGGAGTCCCTGGACCTAGAGGCTGACCGGATCCGTCAGGAGCTGATGCTTACCAATTTTAGCTAATGTGAAAGGGTGGGAGGAGGAGGGAAGCTTTCCAGAAAGAATTGTGACAAACTTTCCCCCTCACCAACTACCACACCGTTTCATCATCTAGCATGACTGTGGACACTTGTCACAAATTGACAGTTAATCTGTGTGTGTTTTTAGAAGAGTTGGGGCTATGCCAGAATATCTTGATTCATTTGTAATTTTACTAGCTAAACCAAAACCAGGACAACAGTTTCCTACTATGCATTGAACTCCAGGTTAAACATCAGTTATTTGAAAGCTCACTGGTTGTGAACGTTTATGATTGTGCTTACAACATCAAAGCAAAGGGGAAAATGGCATCTAGCCAGAACTTTCTTTTTGTTTTAGTTATCTGGAGATTTCAAATGAAAACAATATTTATTTATTTATTTTTCTTTAATTATTTGGATGGCATTTTAACTTTTCTACTTTGCTGCCTATATAGGCATAATCTGAGGCCAAGTGTAAAAAGTAACTTTAAGTTGGTCTTCTGACATAGGTAAATGGCTACTAATCTAATTTTGCAGCTTTGTGTTTTTAAGATGTTAGAAAAGAAGAAAAACAAAAACAAAAAAGATGTTGGGACAGTCTGAAACCTCTGTCTTTGCAATAATTGGGCTGTGGCTCGGACCTACTTCCTAGGGAGAACTATCTCACTCCAATCTCCTATTTCCAACCATGAGTAGGAGTTAGAGGCCAAATGGGCTTAAGAACCCAATCAACTTAAGGAAGACAAGTCAAATATAGATAAAATAGCAAGCTAGCCTTAAAAACCAGGAGATCTAAAGACCCTGATAAATTGATGGACAGAGGAGAGTCACCCAAGTTTTAACAGCTCACATCATAGATCACACTGATGTTAGAATGTCTGTTTGCCCATTCAGCTTTGAAATTCCTTGTACCGAAGGAATATTTAAGGAAGGCATATAAAAACATTAAAAAGGAGAGCTGAAAATAATATAATTTATTCATTTGAAATTAATTTTGAAGCTAGACCTACTTGAGTATCTTATATGCAAAATGATGGACAGAATTTTTAAGGAAATAAATAATTCCCCACCATGTCTTATTCTAAACTTATACTGATATAAAAGTAATCAGATTGGAATACTGAAAGTGTAAATTAGGTTCACACAGGCCTTTGCTAGGACAAAAAAAAAAAAAAACTTTCCTGAGGATTGTCTTGTTCCCAGTTTTTCATTCACTTACCATGTGATACCTCTGAATTGTCCTCTTGGATCATTTCCTAACTGCCTTTGGCAATGTTAATCTGGTGATGTTCAAAGTAAAGAAATGAACAGCTGATGGCAGAGAAATTTGGAAATAAATTGAGGGTGACTCATCCTCAAAATTAAAAACAATTATGGATTATTATCTGCTGTTTATTTCTACTCCAAATTTTATTTTCCATCATCATCCTACTCTATAAAGGGAGGTCCATTTGGCAGAAGGTTGAGCTTAGTATATACAATGAAGTCATTGAGACGGGAGTGGACAACAAAGAGGTGACTGTAAACTTTATAGCTCTACTTATTGTGCAATAGAGGTGCCTTGTTACATTTTTTTTCTTTGTAAAGTTTAACTTGTGAACCAAGCTTGCTTTGTCTCCTTCATAAAGGAAATATTTTAACTCTCACAGTCTTTCTAAGTTTCCTGAGATGGATGTATTTCCCCATAAAGTTTTTTAATGTTTTTACTGATTTTTTAGAGAGAGAGGGAGAAAGAGGGAGAGGGAGACAGAAATATCCATGAGAGAGAAACATAGATTGGCTGCCTCCTACAACCCCCCTATTGGGAATCAAGCCCATAACCAGGGAATCAAACCTGTGACTTCCTGGTGCACGAGACAATGCTCAATCCACTGAGCCACACCAGCTGGGCTCCCTATAAAGTTTTGGTTCTGTTATGAATATTGCATGAGGAAAGGGTTATTGCCACCCGTGTGGAGTATGATCTTAGAAACTGCCTAGCATTTTAGCCTTAAAAACTTACATTAAGCCCTGGCCAGTGTGGCTCAGTATTTAGTGTAGGCCCATACACCAAAGGGTTGCCAGTTCAATTCCCTTTCAAGGGCATATAACTGAGTTGCAGGTTTGATCCCCAGTGTGTGCAGGAGGCAACCAATCAATATGTCTCTCCTCACCTTCCATTCTTTCCAAAAATCAATGGAAAAAATGTCCTTGGTGAGGATTAACAAAAAACAAAACTACATTAAAGGAAAATTGGGGTTTTCACAACTTACTAGATGGTGACATGAAGTCTGAGTGGGAAAGACAGTCTTGGAGAGATTTCAAAAGCAATTTCAAGCCTTACTTACATACCAAAGATAATTTTTAAGTGCTGAACCCTCTGAACATTGCCTGGCAGTGTTTTTCCCTGGGAGCATTTTATTTCCTAATAATTCTACAGAGTAACTTCAAATATATTTCTTTAATCTCCTTTCAACCTGGATTTTTATAGGCCAGGATTTTTTTCAGTTCATAGTTACATTTTCCCCAAAATGATCTAGGGAAGGGATCAGGGTCTGTACTTCCAACTTGCTAATAGTTTGCTCATAGCAGCTTTAAAAAAAAATTTTTTTTAATTGATTTTAGAGGGAGAGGGAGAGAGAAATAGAAACATCAATGAGAGAGAACATCAATTGGCTGCATTCTGCATGCCTGCCACTGGGGATTTGGCCCACAACCTGGGCATGTGCCCTGACCAGGAATCAAACTGGTGACCTCTTGGTTCATTGGTCGACGCTCAACCACTGAACCACACCGGCTGGGCCATAGTGGCTTTTTATAAGTGTCGGAGAAGTCTCCTCTTGAGGCCCTTATTGTGGATTTATAATGTCTTTATAGGGACCGTAAACATATTCTTAGTTTATTGTTTATTTTTTTATATTTATTTATTTTTAATTTCTATTCATTTAGAGAGAGAGGAAGGGAGAGAGAGATACAAACATCAGTGTGAGAGAGAACATCAATTGGCTGCCTCCTGCAATACCTCTACTGGGGATGGAGCCTGTAACCTGGGCATGTACTTTGACCCAGAAATGGAACTGGAACCTCTCAGTCCTTGGGACAATGCTTAAACCACTAAGCCACAATTGCTGGGCAACATATTCTTAGTTTAAAATGAACTGAACATCTCTGGCTGGTTTGGCTCAGTGGTTGGAGTGTCGGCCTGTGGACCAGAGAGTCCCGGGTTCGGTTCCTACTAGGGGCACCTACCAAAAAAAAAAAAAAAGAACTGAACAGAAAATAGAAAAAATATATAAAAATAAATAAAGAACTGAACAGAGAGGGAAGTCTTCCTGACTCTGGAACTGCAAAGGTCTATAGTAAGTTAATCTAATTTGGGGACAAAAAAACAAGACACAATTTTAATGGAGTTATACAGTGAAAACATTTAAGAGGTGGGGAGGGTAAAATAGATAACAGACATACTATGATTGTTTCCCTGCCTGAAACAATAAACTGAAAACAACTCAAGGACTGAGTTTAGCAGTTGCTTTCCCTGATAATGGAGGGGAATTTAGGAGGACGACAAAGTAAATCAAGGAGTCTTAACCATTGTATTTGCACATGTCCTTAGAGCCCAGGGCACATGCTCTCTAGGTCCCACCCAGATCTTATGAAATTGTAGGTATGAGACCTTAGACTCTTGCAGGATGGGGTGGGATCGGGAGGAGGGTGTCAATGGGGAAAAAAGGAGAAATGTGTAACACAAATTAATTAATTTTTAAAAAGAGAGAGACCACCCTGGCCGGTTTGGCTCAGTGATTGGAGCATCGGCCTGCGGACCAGAGTCCCACGTTCGGTTCCTGAGAGGGGCACGTACCAATAAATAAATAAATAAATAAATAAATAAAAAGAGAGAGACCTGCCCAGCCGGTGTGGCTCAGTGGTTAAACATTGACCCATGCACCAAGAGGTTGCTGGTTCGAATCCCAGTCAGGGCACATGTCCAGGTTGTGGGCCAGGTCCCCAGTGAGGGGTATGCAGGAGGCAGCCAGTCGATGTTCTCTCTTATCAATGTTTCTAGCTCCTTCTCCCTTCCTCTCTTTTTAAAATCAATAAAGAAAATTTTTTTAAAAAGAGACCTTAGACTCAGAATTAAGTAAGACTGTTGATTGTGAGAATGGCCATGGAAGAAGAAAGGTAAATACTAATTGATGGACACCCCAGTTTTCTAGCACATACAATTTATAGGTTTTTGTTTTTTTAAAAAAATAAGACTAGCCCTGGCCGGTTTGGCTCAGCGGTTAGAGCATCGGCCTGCGGTACAGAGAGACCCAGGTTCGGTTCCTGCTAAGGGTATGTACCTCGGTTGCAGTTTGTTCCCAGCCCTGGTTGGTCGTGCGGGTGGCGGCCACTCGATGTGTCCCTTTCACATCGATGTTTCTCTCTCTCTCTCTTCCTCTCTCTCCCTCCCGCTCTATCTGAACAAAAAATGGAAAAATGTCCTCGGGTGAGGATAAAAAAAAATAATAATAAGACTACAATCTAAAATTCCCTTTGTGATAATCAAATATGAGCAATGAGATTTCTGGATACTAAGCAGGAATAAAGAAAGTAGACCTTGATTTCAAAAAAGTCTGTTTGAAAGGAATCTCCATGTTTTCCCAGCAAAACATTAGGCATCTATCATTCTGTTGAGACTTTCTCTACCCCTTACATATACAGTTGTTTTCATGGAAGGGCTGATTTTTTGTCATTCTGGAGTCTTAAAATGTTCATACATTTTAATCCATTGATAAATCTTACCACTGGAAATTTATTCAATATAAATAATTCCAAAGAAGGAAGAGCCTCTGTGGATCTCTCTCCTCTGGGCTGCTCCTACATAACCACATTGCTTCTAATTGTACCATTCAGCCCAAAGTGTGTGCATCACCCCACAGTGCTGTGAGATCAGGCTACAAAAGAACAGAATAAAAAAATAATAAATCTTGCCCTGGCCAGTTTGGCTCAGCGGTTAGAGCGTCGGCCTGCGGTCCGGAGAGACCCGGGTTCGGTTCCCGCTAAGGGCACGTACTTCGGTTGCAGTTTGTCCCCGGCCCTGGTTGGTCGTGCGGGTGGCAGCCACTCGATGTGTCCCTTCACGTCGATGTTTCTCTCTCTCTCCCTTCCTCTCTCTCCCTCCCACTCTATCTGTACAAAAAATGGAAAAATATCCTCGGGTGAGGATAAAAAAAAAACAAACAACAAAAAAAATAAT